GCTCTCTTTGACGCGTTTGCCTCCGCGCCCGAATGGAGAAGTGGCGATGGAAGATGAAGATGAAGTAGATGAATAATAAATTGAAATTGAAAATTTCATGTGTGATGTTGGGAAGTTCATTTGCGGGATGAAACCGAACGTTAAATTCATTAAAGTCTTTTGAAAGGTGTTCTCTTAAAGGATTTTTCTAAATTAAAAGATTTAATTTCTGTTTTAAAAATATACCGTACGATGATTTTTATGTAAATCTTAGGTTTTATTAGAGTTTTTGTCTTGCTCACCGGATATCGTTTTTCCGCTTTGAATATGGTTTTTGTGTGTGTACACCACATTGACTTGTATCAATTGTCATAACGTGCTGTTGATGTTGTTTGTTGCACCTGATGGTGATGCTGTCGTGGTACTGTAGAGAGGAGTTAATTTCAAATGTCATGATTCACTTTCGAACGCCTGTGTTTTATGTGTGTTAATGTACCGGTTGTTTATAATAGTATATGCTTAGCTTTTGAATTTTTGTTTTTAAGCCAGTTGCACCATTTTTCTGATACACTTCTATCGAATGTCTGCCCGAGCAACTCACAATGCGTGGAATGTTGATGAGACCCTCTCAGGTTGTTCCATCGTGAACTCGTTTGTGGATATAATGAGCGAGGAGAAAGTGCGTGAGTTACAGAAAGAGGATACCATGAATTCGCAAGAACCGACCACACAGCCGGATGCAGCCAAAGATTGTGATAAAAAACCGATGGTCAGTGAAGATAGGTGCGCCGACGACCATCTTTTGGCTTTGATGTTGCAGAACGAATACAATCACGAACACGATGAGTTACTACTTCGAGAAGAAAAAAAGTTTAACGGAAACGATAAAGGTGATGATTTATTAGTGTGATCGAAGCTGTTTGCAACTGCATTTTCTTTTCTCAGTGGCACTGTCCTTCGAAAATTATCGGCCTAGAAAACTCGTGTCCGACGAAGATTCAAGCGAGGATGACGAGGACCTTCGCGAGTCTTTGAATCAGAAACTCGACAGTGTGTAAATGTGAATTTCTGTTTTCACATGTTTCATTGCATAGTTGCAGGTTTCAAGAAACCGTCGTTCGGATCACACGGCGTGATTCTGCATAACGGTAAACTCGTTTCGAAGCATGACATTGTCTTGTGCGGTCGTGACAATGCTTCGAGACTGTTAGAGGTAGGCTGTGCTGCTTGGGCGTTTCCGTTTTGAGTCTTCTTTAGTTTCCTCCGGACATCTTAACCGGCGACGCGGTCAAAATCGACTTGCAGTTACCGAACAGAGTTTATAATTCGTTGAAAAGTCACAGTATGAGTCAAGGGAAACGTCGAAATCGAATACACGAAAAGAAAGACAAATCTACGACTGTAAGTAACAATTTTCGGTACATTATCTTCAGATCTTCTTCGGCCGATCGACATATTGAAACAATGACGGTGTGCGTTATATTTAATTGGCCCAAGATTATTGATCGATCGGGTGCATTTTCAGGGCGATAACGTGCGGATAGCTTAGAAAAATACTTTTTTATGCATTATGACCTCTGAAGGAGGAAATATTGTAATCGAAAAAGTTGAGCTAACTGTATGTAGCGTGTCTGTGTGGAGTAATCCTTTTAATTGCTTCTTAAATTTACCGAGTTCAGCTTGTGCTTATCTTTGATCATGTCAAATGTTATATCATATCGGTCAGGTCAAATTACCGTCGTCAAACGCAAGGTTCATAGAGCATGTCCGCTTGCAGTGCTTGTTGGAGGTATTTATAATGTGTAATTTTGCTTGACCGTGCTACCTCAAATGCACTATACCTATTCTCAAAGTGGATAGCAATGTCTACTGTGGCCGCAGGCTTGGAATTGTGGTTCTGCGCCATGTTGCCTGGCCGTAGTATGGAATTCATCATAGGCATTGTTTGCTTCATGCGCGCTTCATTGCGAGAACCGCACAGCAGCCTTCCTATTATTCTGTTGAGTATGCTGTTATGTATTTTTACGTGTTTTGTCATGTAATGACATGGTAGGTGTAAGAATGTTTTTGTCTGGTATCCGCGCTTACGGCAGGACTTCATACCGGAACCCCATTGCCGCAGTTTGGGGAGTAGGTCGAGGTGTGCAGAGTGTGCATAGAGGAAGATAGTATAGCTAAGGTACTTCGGTAAGTGGTTATAGACCGTATCATTGGAAGTGCACTCAACTACTTTGTCTTGAAGCGCTTGATGGAACCGCGTTCCACCCCTTTATATCTCTGCAAAGCCGGGTTTTCTGACACATTTTAAGGTATAGTGGCAGAGCTTTCATTTCCATTGTATAAAACGGCCGTACCCAGAGCTTTATTCACAAACCTATCTTGCTTACGTTCATCCATCCATATATTCTTGTGCTATCGTCAGATTTTGCATTCATCCATGGAGATGTGCTCCTTGATAGGGTCTCGTAGTAGGACACATGATTCTTCAAATCCTTTGCCGCTTCTGATATCATCATTAAGAAGCTAGACTGCAGCAAACGAAGTGCTGAGCTAACTCAAGGCATGGCATTGTTAGGCGGCAGGCCATGGTGATATGTACGCCGCTCTTCACGTCTCTGTCAGTTCAGTGATTTGGTGCTCGGGAAAGGACATGTAGATATTTTCCGAAGAGCTCCCTGGAGGAACCGTCTCATTGAATCAGTGTGTCCTTAGTGTTATTTTATTGCATATTTCTAAACACAGATAAGTTGGATGTCGGCAGATGTATATATTAATTTCTCCGCTTCTGCCAGTCAGTAAAGTGATTTCTAGCAGTGGGATATCTTCGTTCGTTGGTATGATGTATCCTTATTCTTGTAGGGAACAGCTTCAAATTTGGATATGGTAGGAATAAGGGTATTAAAGACGATAATTGGACGTGAAGAATTACGATCTTTTTAAATTTAGATTAAGGAAAATATGCATTTGATGGGATTACAAATCAGGCCAAGGCTGCTCGCTGCCATTTTGAGTTGGTCTTGTATCCTCCGTATTCTGGTGACATCATTTCCACCTTGTCAACATATACAAAGAGACGTACTTTTTCACTGGAAATCTCATGTCCAGATGGACCTTCCTGGCATTCATAGCAGATCTGAGGATAGGTTCCAGGGCGATGTTTAAATATATTTGGGACAATGGGCCACCTTGCCACCTGCCAACAGGGCTATTGCTTTTGCGACTCTAGCACGGGTTTTTGTCCTAATCCTGTTACCGGTGTACATGTGCTTAATAGTTTGTGCAATGTGATATAAGGTTTAGAAGAGGGCCTTTTGAGTAGCTGAACCAAATGCATTGCTGATGTCTAACCATCCAATAGCCAGTTTCTTATTTCAACGTTTGGCGTCTTGGACAATGGCTTGGTTTATTTATACATGTTCAGCACACCTCCCTTCACTCCAAAATTTCGTTTATCTCTGTTTATGATATAGTATAATCACATGCTAAGCCTTTTGCTTTGAAAATCCACAGTATAATCTCACTAATATGTTTCCTGTCATGATGGGTCTTCGATTTTTCGATTCAGTAAGGTCTTCACTCTTACGAAATAAGATGTAAAAGGTATAGTTTCGTGCTGCTGGCAGGCGTTAAAGGCCTCGATGACGTGGATGGGTCAGGTTTTTATTTCTTAGGCATGACGTATGTAGTTTTGTCTGACCCTAGTACAGTTTTGCTCATATTGGCGAGCTTAGACCAGACTTCTTCCTTGATGAAAGGTCTAGTAAGTCCATAGTTGAAGCTGTCTGAGAGAGCTAAAGGCACACTCTAATTCCGGGGACTCCCTGTTCTGGGAGCGTGTCTGACCTTGAACGTGCCTTCTGGCCTTGAACAGGCTGAGGAAAGGTACGATCTGATTACCTATTTTCTGTTATTGCCCTAACCGCCTTTGTGAGTTCTTGTTATGCAGTTTGTGTACCTCACGGCTGGAAAGGGGTTTGTATTATGCTTATGTGTTAAAATACGATTCCTGTAATACCGTGGGTTCAGCAAAGTTTCTGCATGTCTACTATGTGCTCAAGTATGTTACATGTGTCGGAAAATGTCTCTGACCGCGGATTGTTTATGTGTGCCTGTTGTTGTGTTGTAAGTGTGGACGTGTGAAGGGAAAGCGGTTTCGAGGAATTCGCCATATAGGCGTGATTAATGTTCCACAATTTCCTCCTAAGAGACAGTGCTTCTGGGGTAGCAAATGTATAGTCGGTAAACGTATTTTCATCGAAAATAGCGCGAATTGGTCCACGGTCGTAAATCTTGGCTTATGGACTATGCTAACTTTCCACTTGTTTGCGTACAAATCTCTGGCCTGGTTTTTGTGCGTTTGTATGTTGCCTGTCTCTCTGTTTCTGGACGCGTGTAAAACTAAATCCTTGGAGGCCGCAGTAGTAGTAAGCCATGGTAGTCGCCTCTATTACCTGTCATTGATTGTTTACGTCTAGGGAGACACTACGTATTGCACATTAAAGATTTAGTCAAAGATGCAGCAGTAAGGTGGTGCAGATTTCGTCTTTTACCAGAACTGGTACAATGCACGTGTCAAGCAGTTCTGTCATGGGGAACAGCACCATTATCTCTAATAGTACTAGTCTCACGCTTAGTAGTTCCACCATTGTGACGCGATTACGCAGCGCGCGCTTATTCTTGAAGTTTCAATACGTTGTCTTTTCTGTCGGGAAGTTCTACTTTTAAATGTAGTGGCAAGCTTGTGGAATTGACTCGGTTGTTCGCTGTTAACCCGTTTCTTTTCGGCGCACCTCATTCTCATGAAGGCTCATGTGATTGACGAGTCCTTGGACTCATCCGGCTTTAAGGCTCTATATTCAGCGCAAACTAAGGGATATGATTCGATTGAAATCCTTTGTAAAGTCGTGATAACAGTATCGCAGTCAGCCAGGGAATAGGTCTCGGGGCACATCGGACGCCTGTACGTTTTGCTGCGTTAAATGTGTCCGTTTAAGTTACGGTCAGGCTTCGATTGTATGAAACAGCATTTTGTGCAGTGTAGGTCTACTGTCGCCGGCGGTGCACCGATCGTCGTTCGTCATCCCGCCGTCAGATCGCGCTCATCTCATGCTGCTCCAGTTTGAAGCTTATTCGCGGCTGGTACATGCGGATTCGCGGAGGCCTCTTCCATTATCCTGGCTAGCACCGCCGCGAATGAGTCAACGCTGGCCCTCTTCGCGACCTCGATCATCGTGTTGAGTTGAATTCGCGGACCGGAACGCATTATTGTTCTGCACAGTCGGTCCGTTGTTCGCCATGCCACGTACTTCCGACGCTTCGGATCCGCGGCTTGCGCCGTCTAACTAATCTTTGTCTGTTTGTCGTAGCGGGAACCCCAAGCTGTTATGGGTGACAGCACCAGATGCAGCGCTTGAGGCATTCCTCTCTGGCGAAATTCTCTATATGGCGCTTACAGACTCTGAACTATTCCTCACGCTCATATTTTCAGGTGTTTGTTCATCGTCCAAAATGCGACTTTGTCTTCCTTGTAATGAAGGCTGCAAAAGAGGCACGCACACCTCCATGCAACTATCAGGAATCCGTGGACTCTCTCCATGCGGCAATTTAAAGACTGGTGTTTTTATGTCCCGTCAGAGAAATTCGGGACAGGTGTTGCGACAGCCCATAGTTCAGACTATTACCTCTGTCTGCGGGACATCAACTAGTATTACGTTTAAACTTCCGTCATGCGCCAGCTCAGGATGTTTCTCAACTACCCCCATTGCACCTGCAGACTCATTGCTCAGAATCTCAGACGCAGCTTAACTAAAGCAGCTATCGCTCCTACACTATAATGCGCTAAATATAAGGTTGTAGCCGAATGCCGCATAGCAAGCTGTGAGCGTGCCTCCAAGCATATGGGATTGATGGCCAGTTACTATGAACCGTCCAAACTGATAGTATACTGATAGTAGGTGCTGCGTTATAGTAAGTTGCGTGAGTCCGGAACTTGCATTGCAGGCACTGATTTCTGCCATGGCTGCATTCTGTCCTGTCTACTCTTTGTGTTATACATGGATAGAGTAGTCAGGAGCAGCCAGAGCAATGGATGTACCAACAGAGAGGATGTCGAAACGAGAAGGTTGCTGTTTGCAGACGACCTCGATTTGTTGTCACCTTCTGAAACTGATCTCCAGCGCTCTCCAGAAAGGTTAGCAGCCGAGTGTGCGACCGGCATGTATGTAATGGGTGCTGCGCTCTGCAGATAAACTGAGAAACAGCGATCGTGTGAAGAAATTCACCTACATCATTACCGAGATTTCTGATGATGGTAGATGGGAGAAAGAGATCGACCGGCCAATTCATATTGCCAGGGCGTTCTGCCTGAACTGCCACGAACCGCTGTGGGTAAAGCAGGCCTGAGCCTGAAAACTAAACCATCTGTGTTAAAGTCGGTGTTTTTCCACTGTTCACTTATGGTCATTAGTCGTGCACCGTGACTGAAAATTCGCGATTCCGGGTACGAGCATATGAAGTTGGATTCCTGGGATGAATCACTGGGATCTTCCTTCTCGACAGAATGCGGAACTGATATATCCGAGAAAACCTTTTTGTACAGCAGCATCTTCAGCAAATTGAAAACTTACAGCAGGTATTGTTTGGACGCGTTTTGTGAATGCTTCCAAACCAAAACGCAAAACAGCTGCTACGTGCCCTATCGACCGACCGAAAACCCTGAAGTATAGAATGCATGACGTGGGTAATTGCTTCGAAAGACTATGCCCCAGACTTTGGTTATGTTCTGCTGAATCTTAGCCGCGTGTACACGATCGTGAACATCGCAGACTCTCTCCGACGCTGCCGCGTCCGCCACTCGAATGGATTTACGTCCCTTCCTCGAAACTGATTGTCTGATTGATGATGTCATCATCATGAAAATACCATTCATTTTGCTTCCTAGTTATTTCTTACCAATGTATGAATAGATTATTTCGTTACGTTCTGTTCTGAAAAAAAACGCTTGGGGCATCTGGTCTTGTCTGGCCATCAATAAGTATTCGTTCAATTCGAAAAGATATCAATCCCTTTATAATGAAACGGGTACCATCGTGGAGAACCATTTAAGAGTTGCTTTCAGAACTCGATTTTTCTGTAATGAATTTTTCTGTACAAAACATCGTTTCAGGTTCTGAAAACTGCATTTAATACTTATTTTCTTGTATTTCTAATAGTTTTACTTTTTGGCTGCCGAACATGGAATAAGTGAATGGTTATAGATTTCACGTGGGTCAAAGATAATTTTAATGTCTGGTTGGTTGAATGCTGTTCATTTTGTACTGAGATAATGTAGACATTTCATTTAGTGAATTAGGATTAGTGAAAATTTTGCCTTTGGTAGGTATGTAAAACTGCACAAATTGTTACATCCAGTTAATGCCTTTCTTCGTTATGAAGGTGGAGAATATGACAGTATTTCTTTATCCTTCGCTCTACACTGACTGTACTTCCCCTCCCCCCCCGCCCGTCTTTTAGTGTAGGTTTTCGATGTTGGTGAATGTTTTAATGTAAGCAGACAAAAAAATTATCCGTTAGAGCATTTTTGAGTTCTCTTACCTTAATTAGCAGTATTGCCCACTTTTTCGTATTTGTGACTGGTTTGACGGATGTGCTGGTGATTATGATATGCTGCATCGTTTTGCAATTTCATATATTCTTTTTCGTGAGTTTTTCCTTTCCGATGGCGTAGGCAGTCGCGTCCCACAGTGTCCAGCTTTCCCGATCCTTTGCCGTTGTTCGAATTTCGGCAGAAGACAACCTGAGTGGAATGCAGAGAATTTCGAGGCACACATTCCAGGTTATTCTTTGTCGTCCACGGAGTTCTCGGCTATCCGGTGAGCAATTAGCAGTTGTTTGGCCTTCCTTTCTGGAAGCTTTCGAACTACGTGCTCAAACCATCGCAGCTTCTACTTCTTCGCAGCTTTGAAGATTCAGTGTTGTACACCAGGGCTCTTTGTATTCCGTACCACCTGGAGACGCGTCAGCCCAACGATTCGTCTCAGATTGCTTATTTCATCTGCTTATACCGGGATCGAAGTTTTTCAGCCATGACGGCCTACGACTTGTACGCGGCGATTTTAGTCTTAAGACTTTGCTCTGCTTTAATTTCATCGGTTCGAGCTAGTTTACGCAGCACGCGGTTGGCCACTTCTGTTTGCATTAGATCTCGTCCTCGTTATTTATTTTATTATCTTCATTATTTGCCATCACCAGATAACATTACCCTGAGGTACTTGAACCTTTCCACCTGCTTTTCTGTTTATTTGAAGAGAGCAGCCGGCTGGAAAATGAAAAAGCACTAGACTTTTCGTTTTAGATGTGTTCACACGCATGCCAGCCACTTCCACTCGGCTACGAACTTTTCCAGGTAGCGTTAGAAATCAGTTTCGGAAGATGCCAACTAAATAAGGTCGTCCGCTAACAGCAGTCTTCTCATCTTGACATCTCCTACACTGATAAAATCATAGCTTTGACCTTGCCTGACTGTTTTGTTCACGTAAAACACACTGAAGAAAGGACAGAACGCTGTCTTCTTGGAAAGCAGTGCCAACGCTGAAAGATTTTGACTTAACGTCGTTTACTTTGATGTAGCACCTGCAATCAGCATATGGTGACTGGATTACCCGTAGGAGCTGGCAATCGATATTATGTTTTCAGGCATTCCCATGACTTGTTGCACTCGATGCGATTACAGGCTTTCTCCAGTTCTCCATAAAAATGAGTTATGAGGAAAACTTTTGTGTAAGCGTAGTTGAGTACCTGACTCGTACTGACTTGTTGTACATAACATACACTTTCTATTACTCTAGGAGTGGGCAGTGGATGCGAAGACACGTTTAGTGCTGTATAAAATGGTCAACAGCGGCGTACTTGATTCAGTCAGTGGCATCATCTCCACGGGCAAAGAAGCAGCATTGTTTCACGCGCTTGGCGGAACGTAAGGGTCCTGCTTTTCCGTTTTTAATGTACAAACGTGATCATAGATGGAAAGGAAAGGATCTTCCAAAAGAATGTGCTATTAAGGTGTTCAAAACTACTCTGAATGAGTTTAAAAACCGTTCAGAGTACGTTCAGAATGATTACAGGTTTAGAAATCCCAGGAAAGTAATGAAAGTTTGGGCTGAGAAAGAACTGGTTAACCTCAATAGGTAAGTAGGCTAAAAGTGAAAGAAAATTTGCGTATTCTTTCTTGTAGGTTGAGAAGAGCTGACATTCCGTGTCCTGAACCGATCCGACTTAGAAACCATCTACTTTTGATGTCTTTTATCGGAGAAGATGGTATTCCTGCTCCAAAACTGAAAGAAGTTGATTTTGACAGCGAAGAGCTAGCAAGCTTGTATGAAAGCTGTGTCGCGGTAATCGTTCATGCTGACAGGGTTCGAATTTTCACCTTATGTTGTTCTCATGCAGATAATGCAAAAAATGTTCAAAGATTGCGGCCTGGTGCACGGTGATTTGAGCGAGTTTAATATTTTGTATTGGAAAGGTGACCTGTGGATAATCGACGTTGCTCAAGCTGTTGACATCTCACATCCTCGAAGTTTGGCATTTTTAGCAAGAGACTGCGAAAACATAACAGAGGTAAAGGTCCTTTCTCACTTGTTTGTATCGATGCAGTTTGTGTTATCTTTGAAATCACGTCGTCAAATATATTATCTTTGGACTTACTGTATATGCACCAGCCTGTTGACGTATGTCAATGTAAAATGTCCCGTACAGCAGTATTTTTTTAAACCAGCGATACTTGGTGTAAACCATAAGTAGTTATGGGAAATGCCACTTCTTGAAACCCACAGGCAAGATAGAACGAGTAACATGACACCAAATGCGTCCCTGCGTTGCAGGTCTTAGAACGCTACTAAATGATTGCCGACTTAAATAGCCGTAGAGGCATTTACGAGATAGCCGAGGATGTCATAACCCCTTGAACTGAGCCTCACTATGCACTTAAACATTTGTCTTGGCGTATGAACTCTAGGGCGAAGTCTGTGTTAATTCCAGGTAAAAACTTGTTTATTGTAGACTATTTTTGGCGAATTTTCTCCTCTGGTATTTTCTTTTGAAGGCAGGAACTTGTTCATTTACCTCTCTAAGTTTAACCAGGGCACTTGCACTCTTGGCTTCAGCTGGAAGGAATTAATTAACAGTGACTGTTTCTGTGGTTTACTTCCTTTCAGTACTATCCAAAAGTTATGTTTAAAGCACTGTGCCAGTCTGTCACGCACACACACAGTGATGGCTGATAATTGGAGATTTGAACTTTCGACTTGTCGAAAGCCCGCCCATTTAAACAGGTTTTTCGTCGTAAGTCGTGCACAGTATTTAATATATTCATAAATGTAATCAAGAACAGGTGACTACGTACGATGAGAAACTGTAACACTGATGATAATCTCAGAAGGGAAACTTATCGTCTCCTTTAAACATTGTTTAAACGTTCAACACCGCCTGCATGCCATCTCTTACACCGACTCAACTACTGCAGCGCCGTTGCATGCTTTTTTCTCTATAATCGGAACAAACAGAATGAGTTTCCGGTTTGTTCCATGCTCTTCCCGGCTTTTTTTAGATATCTAACTAGACTCTGTTTAATATTTATTACAAATCAGGAGGAATTTGAAGTGCAAACATGTTCAGTAAATACAGTAAGCGTCCCTTTCAGAAAATTAGAACCTTGTCTATAAGATCATGTTTTATGTAGGTAAATCCTTTAGATAAATTAGTGTCCGTAAGAAGTAATATCTCTCTGCTTTTGACCAGGTTCGCATTGAACATTCAGCAAATGTCACGCATTAGAGCAAGGACATCCGTTCATCGAAGCTGATGTTTCAGCTTTATGTAGACATATGAATCATTGAAGTCTCTTGCCTAAAAAGCCATTCATTTAGCGACCAACAAAGATGTCGTGTGCTATGAATATTCTTCTATGAAGTAAGCGAAATCAAGCGGCTATTAATAAAGTTATTTGAGGATCATACTGGTGTTCATGTTCGCCATTGAGATTGTTCGTAAATAACGCAATACATTTTACTGTAACATTTATTATTTTACTTGAGCATGGTGCGGGGTATATCTCAGTAAAACAGGTCCCAAATTAGTTTTAACATCGTTATACCTCGTACCACAGATCGAGAAGCGGTATCACTAATTTCTTATTTTTAGTTTTTCTCAAGAAGAGGCGTCCATACTGTTTCGGCCAGGGAACTTTTAAACAAAATAACGGATTTGAAGTTTGAATCAAGTGATTCGTTTTTTGACGATGTCGAGGACTTTTGTGACAGTTGTCAAACCGTTCAGCTAAAATATGACAAGAAGAATCCCGCGGATTGTGTTTTGCGCTCAGTGAACAACAGCGCAGGTTCGGTTGACTTTCCTTCAGAACCGCACGCTGAAACGCCACCCGTGATCGAAGCCCTTTCTGATTCAGCAGAGGTTCAGAATTGATGTCGCCGAACTTGGAAACGGTTGGCGAAGCGTTTTGGATTTGGAACTGCCATTTTCCAACTGTTTCTTTTTGGTTACTGTTTTTTTTGAATTTGAACGATTTTATACTCAAAGTTTGGTTTAAGATATGTTCATTATTCATATTCGTTGTTAAGATGCAGATATCGTCGTGTGTGAGGGAAATTGTTTGAAGTTGAAGGTTGCTTGCCAATTATGGTAAATGTCAGTATGTGCGACGGTGTCTGCGTTATATTTTTGTCTTTATAGCTTGTTGTTTTTTCATTCCTATCGGAATAAACTAAAAGCCATCTACTCTTGTTTATTGACCTTTCTTTTACTACGGAGGTTCGCGCTTCTTTGAAAGTTGTTGTTGCACATGGAATGGAACGTGCTAGCGGTCAAAACTGTGCTATTGCTGGTCATTATTCTCTCGTGTAAAGACACTCAAACTTAGAAATGATATCTGAGTCTTCAAAGACATCCTGACATATGAATTTTGGCG